ATTTGACATTTTTCAGTCATTTTATCTTTAATAAAAGCACGTCATTTATTTACTTGTTTTGCTCTCTTTGACACTTGATATGATAATAAAGCACTTATTTACTGGAACCGAGGGAAACAGTATGTCTTGTGGTCCCGAGACCGCTGATGTTTCCCGAAGCGAAAATGTTTGTCTTCGAGTTCTTAAAAAAGAAAATAAAAGCCGAAACAAATTGGCACTATACTAGAAATTGTTGTTATGTCTAATTTGCCAGTTCATTGATTTTTACCCAGAAACCTGTTCAGGTGAGTCGCGTGCTACGAAGTCCGGTCGACGACAACCTTTTGTCAATCGACTATATACTTTAAAAGTGTATAAAGCAGAACTTTCTTAAAGGTGGGGCACTGACCTCCTTTACATCACCACCTCCTCCCCCCTGAATCCACCCCAGTTACATACTGAGCTTATGACATGTAAAACTGAAGATTTATAAATTTAGGAACTAATACACCAAAAAACATTTATTAAAATAGAAACAATGCGATAATTATAAACACCTCGAAAACTTAGTTTTACTTCACTGGGGGTTGTCACGTCTGGAGTTYCTGTGATATCAGACGTCGTGAGGAGACTGGTGGAAACCTAAGGCATAAGAAGACTGAAGGCATGCAGACCGATGCGTTAGTCTATCTGACAAGAAGTCCGCTACGACATTACTACATAAAGATACATGCTTTGGTCCTTCTTTAGGCCTTGCGTTTATAAAATCACCCTAATCGTCCTAAAATACGTTTTACATTTTGAAGAGGAAATTTSAAGAATGCAAAACGCGTTTTGGACGATGGAGGCGATTACATTGGCACTATGGCTTGACTGATCTTTTCCAGGAATTCCTGCATATACAGCGATTATTGCGAAGATCTGCGCATAATCTAATATCTACAGCGTGGGCCAATAGGCAATGTTCAAAGACACCATTTTCCTATGCAAAGAATGTCTGTCCAACATTAGTCCTAGCGTATGTTAATTCAATTTATATCCTTTTAAATCTCCAGCAAAATAATCCTTCAATGTACTTCTTTTTTTTAGAAAGCCAAATAGTACGATCTTTATCTTCCTCGAAGGATACGCAAAAACGGAYATTTGTTAGCAAGAATACAAAAGTGTTACGAAAACATATCTTTACATGATGCTTTGTTGAGCAAAACGGCGTTGTTGTACATCTTTGCCTCATGCTTTGTTAACCAAGGGGCGTCGTTGCACATTGTCTATTGACAGCGCGCCAAAACTAAATACATGAAGCAGTCGTGTGCTGCTTGTGTCGTCACTTCAATTATTAGGACTTTTGCTTCTTATTTGCTTCAGTACATACTCTCGTCCTTAAGTGAAAACATGTCTTAAAAGAAAAAATACAGGGCGAGGTATTATGGTTACTTTTTTGTTCGGTTTCTTTCTTTTTTATTTACGTGGTCATTTACGTTTAATCCTTGCTGCGATATTTAGCTTAGTGACTACAATATACATCTTTTTCTCTATGATTTCTTGCGCGTTTAACCTGCTTCACTATGACGTAAAGCTCACATTTCTTGCATTTCAGTTAATGACTTTCGAGAATCTCGATTTTGTGTCGATTCAAGTCCGAGATATATTTCCGACGCTTGTACGATTACTTGTCGATGCATTTCCGATAGTTTGGCAATGTCTCCAMGGTCACTTTTATCTGATCCATCGATAAATTGTCATACTGAAGTCTGCGCATTTCGATATTATACATATCGTTAMTTGGCGATTAGGCGTCCGCTGGCTTGTCGATGTCGAGATCACTAGTSGAATGTTATCGATAAGTCGTTACAATTTGATTTTCGCGCTATTCGATACRACACATTTTGTTTTGCAAACAGATTTTTTGCACAASCCACATTTGACTTTGCAACACCACTGGAACTTGCAGTGACAATTAAAATTTTGAATYTCCTTGTAATCCACCGCTTTAAGTCCACAAGAATTGCAAATTTTGCGGCATCTTTCCAAATTCTTGTCAGATCCTTGACATTCTCGACCTAGTACTCCATCGGCGGCGACAGAGGCGTTGCGTTGGCAGTAGTCTGGGGACGAATCAGTATAGATAAGAGTTTGCTCTTTTCGYAAAATCGACTTTAATCCTTTGGGTCCCTTTGTTTTGAATAGTCTTTTTATATAACGAACTTTCTTGGCTTTTTTATACTTTTCGTGTAAGTATTTGCCGATTTCGTTGAACGATGGAAGTCGTCGCCAGCATGTTTTGGTAGAACACGTGCCTGTGATACCATGGCAACGGCATTGCTTTCTTAGGTTCACTCGAACAGCCTTTGAATGAAAAAGAATTTAGTCTAAATAAAGAATATTCCTGTTGTTCACTGTACTGCTCTGTATACTAGCAGGAAACGTAACTGMTGTGTTTTTCAGCAGTTTGCGCAACAGCAGCCATGTTTCCGGTTCTCTAAAGACCTGTCAATTTTGTTGCRTTACATGAACTGCAATTTTTGAGGCGATTTTATCGCAAACCCAATACGCGTTTTGTTGACAGAACGCAAATTCACGACAACTTGCGGGTTTATCGCAGCAAAATTTTACTGAGTGCAAATCGCAGCGATTTTCACTTGAAATTTGGATTGAAATCACCGTCAATTTTGCAGGCTGTTTAAACGCGCGATTTGGGTTTGCGCAAAAAACGCAGCTTATGTCTCGCAGAAAAATTGCTGGTGCAAACAAGCCTTATTAAAAGATTTCTTATCAGATTCTCTTACTTTTACCACCGATAATTTGTCTTTTCATGTGTATCCCGACATATCTCATGGTATAGATTGAAAAAAAAAGCAATTATCAAGTTTGGGGATTCCTGCTTTGACAGGCAGGGAAGACAAGAAGAGCTAGAAGTCGCCGGCGAATTGGCAGTAGAGGGAACTGCAGATTACTCGCTCATGTCCACCATAATCCCCTCAGAACCGCTAAACTAGCTACCTTAGTAACAGGATAGTATCTCAAAATTACATCGGAAAAATTCTTCGTGATAGCCTTCTGAGAACAATTCTAATTGGATTTCAAGATATTCTACTAAGTTACCTTTCGTCCAACATCGTTATTATGTGAAATCAGTTTAATTCTTTCTGTAGGTGCATCTTTAATTTCGATGGCCTCCAAGAAATGYTTTGCCATCACCTCACCAAACTTGATATTCTCGCTACAGCCRCCCCACCAGTACTTATTATCCTTTGTTTTGATCTTTTTATTATTGATACATGCGCAGTCTTGGAACTTTCCCAGTCGACAGTCACGTGTCAAAACATAGGTAGCACCCGCTGACGTAATACTGTGAGTGAATGCAGTCTCACGTGTGTCTGTAAAACAAAGTCAGTTAGTATAAAGGTAAACGATGGGAATGCGTATATTAAAGTTTCTCTATTTTCTGTGTGTTTTGTTGTTGTTGTTGTTGTTGTTGTTAAAAGATTTCTTAAAAGAAATCTTATCAACCAAGAAACCCATCGGCTAACACTAGACAGCCACAAACTACCCAACCGACCAAGTAAACCGGCNATTATGATGTAAGCGCTACTTCAACCTAAAAGTTATTTATTTTTGTCGAGCTTTCGGCTCACCGAGCCATTATCAAGACGGAATGAAAAACGTTACATTTTACAAAACAACATAAAAACAATGAGCGCGCGCTCTGAGAAGATAATAAGCGCGCGCGGTAACTAACTTCTAATTACACAGAGATAATTTTGTAACTTGTTGTTGAATCAGCAGCACAGGACAAGAGTCAAAGCTAAATATAATAATATCAAGGATCACAGCGGTGAGCAAACGCGATAATTGCAGTGTCGATATGGTATGGCTCAAGGGTCTTCAATGTTGTATTGTTCACAGTCGGCGCTCCGCAGTCTAATGGGACCTTCACGAGGTTATAATTTTTTTCAGCGAAAATTGATCAAGCACTTCCTGCCGAAGATATCTATAACACATGCGACATGGCTGCGTACTTACTTGAAGAAGAATTATGGCTTTAATGTAAATAGAACCGGAACAACTTTGAGTCTTTCAGAAGGAACACATTATATACCACTCAAAGATTTCAMTTTTAGAACATTACTCGATAAGTGCAAATCCCTTAAGTTTAGGCTGCATTTGTATAACACAAGATGATGTTTTTGACCCTAAAAGCTGCATGGAGTATGCCCGAGASTATGCTYAGAAAATTCTGACACAAACAGCTCAAATTGCCTTTAGTTATATAATGAGTTTATACGATGCTTGCGTCGAAATTTCTACATAGAATGATAAATTACTTGATAATTCAACATATCAGTAAATCGTGATCTGCTAATATAAATTACTGCTCAAATTATTTTTAAATTTAGTCGGTTTTGACACGGAATTTCAGCCACACGAGTTTAATGCGGTTTACTTTAGACAGATTGTTAACTGTTAAAATACCCTGAGTGCGTTGACAACGTAGTCTACCCATTAAAATAATAAGGGAATACCTCTCAGTATATACTAAAAACACAGAACCAAAAAAACATGGCCACATATGATGAAGGACATGTATTTACGAAGTATTTGAGTGGCTTAAATGCTCGTGTTATGTACTAGAAATGACGTATTACTCACATCTTTTTGCTGCAGAMGACCTCTTCRSGAATAGTAAGAACTACYACAGTGCAAAGCAGTAGCAATTGATGGTATGGCTTCATATTGAGTTCAATAGCTGTTGCTCGAGGCTGTGTTTCTTCAAGCTTCTTCAACGTCGTCAAAACTGTGAAGAGAACGTCGATTTGCAGTAAGATGAGTGGTGGTGAGAGGTCGCTCCTTAACAAGACAAACTACATATCTCCTGCATGTTTTGATAGGGAGATTTTTGCGGCTAATTATGGCCAAAACAACGACCAACACTTACAAAGCATCAGATATCATTCTATGTCCTCTCTACTTTAGGTCAGAGAGCGGCGTCAACGTAATTAATAAATCGATGGAAATCAGAGATGATGTACATGTGTCAAAGGCCAATCCTGTGGTTGATTCCGTCGAGTCAATTTCTTCCAATTTTAAGGAAAATTCCCCAACGCTTATAACTGGAAATAATAGACCCCAGCAATTCCAAGTTCTACAGGGATTTCTCAACGCGAATAACATCGAAGTTAAGTATATAATCATTAGTTTGCGTGTCAAATGGTCGTTTAGATGTAACATAAGCTAAATTGTTATATAATGAATAATAGGATCAATGGAATGCTGAATAACAGTATGATATCGAACACATGATCGGTGTGTACAATGTGCATTTCTCTCCAGGGCAATCAGTACTACACAATCCAAGACCTCACACATCAGTTCAATAACATGAACATTGTATTTATTTTTGCATATAAAACGTTTTTTAGTTGCTGTTCTTTGGGTTGACGAGTGGGTGTGCCGACGCAGTTTGATATATCCGACATTTGATGAAGTCTRTCCTGACTCCACATGGCTRTATGCAGTTTCTTCGAAAGTCTTTCAAAATCTTTCAGTAAACTTTTTTGTCATATGAAAGWTTTAAGAAAACGAACTGAGACTCATGGAGCTGCTATTCCTTTATTGGATTTTACAAGGCTCAGTTACAAAAAATTCTCTTGTGTCGGCAGTCCTAAACCCTACGGCATMTTAAACKCCGAAATTCACAGGCGGCGAATTTAATCCAAATAAGGTGATGGTGAGCAGAACGAAAATATTGGACTAATCCGCATTAATTCCAGGAAACTGGAAGGTTGGAACTTCATTGCATTGGTTTCGGACTGATTTCCGTTAAGTGCACATGACGCCTTTTAGAAAATCGTTTCCATTGCTTTCCTAAAAGAAACACGCTGCTAAGCTWAGCATGAGAGGAAACAATTTGATTCGAATTGATCATCTTTTTTCAAAGCATTTGAAAATTGAAAAATGCAAATGAAGTGACGTTAAATAAGAAATGATTTCATTTCAAGACACTATTCCTCCTTTTCACACATAGTATTTTCAGTTCTCAAATATTACTATGGTTGCTAATTTGATCAATTCAGCCAAGCGCAAGTAACACAAACATTGAAGAAAGTCTAACCCAATTACTTGAGTTGACGTCTTTCATTTTTCATTTCCAATTCTATAACTCAGAAAATATAAGTCAAGATCTTTTATAGCTTCTTGTTCTTCTTGTTTTTCTTGTTCTTCTTGTTCTTCGTGTTCTTCGTGTTCTTCTTGTTCTTCTTGTTCTTCTTGTTCTTCTTGTTCTTCTTGTTCTTCTTGTTCTTCTTGTTCTTCTTGTTCTTCTTGTTCTTCTTGTTATTCTTGTTCTTCTTGTTCTTCTTGTTCTTCTTGTTCTTCTTGTTCTTCTTGTTTTTCTTGTTCTTCTTGTTCTTCTTGTTCTTCTCGTTCTTCTCGTTCTTCTTGTTCTTCTTTGTTCATTGTATAATGCTTAAGCTTAGTATTCCCTTTCGGATAACAATAACTTTTAAAAGGCGCCTCTATGAGCGCACCGTTCGTTATGACAAGCCATGAAGTAGTTGAAGTACCGGTTATCTTACGGAAGGTGGAAAAGTTTATCTATAAATTTAGTGAGCTATTTAGTTAACCTCCCCAAGAAGTTCTTACCACTGCAGAGATGATAAATAAATGAACTGTAACTTGAGCCATCTCACTTGTAAAAATGTTTTTAAATCAGTTGTGCGAAGTTCTGGAGCAAGGATTCAACGGCAAAAAAACTGATTGATTTAATAAGATTGCTCATAAGATGACTTCATCCGCCCTCCGGCATTACCTTGTCACTACTGGTAAAAGACGTTATTGCAAATATGGCCGCAATTTTGAATTCCATTGTGYTTGTTTGTTTTTGCTAAATTTTGGTTTTGTAGTTTTTTAGGAGTTCTTTGGCTCTCAACCAGAATCTCTATAACTGTTTAATTAAGTAATTATTATCCAATTTGAGCACAAGAATGCAAGGAACATATCATAAATCGAAATTGAATAAATTTGAAGCAATAACGCAGCTGTTTTAGCATAAAATTATCAAAGAAAGTAGATTTTCCGTGCAATTGTACATTCAATGTATGCATGTGCACATTTATTTTCTTGGCAATTTAGAATGAATTCAAGATGGCGGCCTTACTGGTRTTGTCTCAAGCTGAGCGTGCTACCCAAGGCCTATTCAAGGTTTTGTTTTTTTATCATTATTCTTGCTAAATGTTTCCAAATGTTATGCATCCACAGGTAAAAGTGCAACTTTGAAAATGAAGTCCATCATTTCTACATGGTTAAAAATACATGATTAACTAAAAACCACAGGAAACGCAAACTTTTCCCAAGTGATTTCAAAACGTGATGGAACTACCTTGCTTGGTGCCATAAATAGATACGGTCACAGAGCTAACAGATTCAGAGAGTGGGAGTGAAAGAGGAAGCCACTKCCCGCACGGAAGTGTCGAAAACTTTCTCATGGTAAACGATTAGCGGCAAACGAACAGCGTTTACCTGACCGGTCTACTCAAGAATGCTTTGACAACGTTCATTTTTTGAATTTTCATGAACATTCAAATGTGTCWGTCTTTCAATCCTAGCTATCGCTAGCAAAATGAACTGGCACGAMTCGYCACGAAAAATCAATAAATCTATTTTGTGAATAACTCCTGAGGACATTTTCAATTAATTAAAGATATCAGTTTGAGGTTATGATGTAAATAAAAACGTATTTCCGGTCTTTATAGGGATAGTTTGAAAGACTATTCTAAAAATTGAGTTACGATTTAGCTACTAGTTTTGATTTGCRTCGAACTGGACACGTGTGAACYTCGTTRTMTGAAGRAAAAMTTTYCTGGGCTCTGTAAAAAARATMTTTTTTWRAATAAAATCTTTYMRSAAWRKTT